CATAATGTATTTGCTCTGAGAATCATAGAAACTGATGAGATTCTTTTGTTTGTTTTTTGAGATGTTGCATTAGTTTCCTAGGGCTGCCATGACAAAATGCCACAAACTGAGCAGCTTGAAACAACAGAAATTTATTCTCTCATGGTTCTGGAGGCCAGAAGTTCAAAACCAACATGTTGGCAGGGCTGTTCTCCTTCTGAAATCTGTAGGGGAGAATCCTGCCCTGCCTCTTCCTGGCTTCCAATGGTGGCTATCAGTCCCTGGTGTTCCTTGGCTTGCAGCTAAATCACTCCAATCTCTGTCTCTGTCATTGCAAGGCCTTCCCCTGTGTGATGGAGTCTTCGTATGGCATTTTCCTCTTCTTATAAAAACACCAGTTATAGTGGGTTCTGGCCCATCCTAATTTATCTCCTCTTAGTTTGGTTACATCTGCAAAGACCCTATTTCCAAATAAAGTCACATTCAGAGGTACTGAGGGTTAGGACCTCACTGTGTCTTTTTTTGGGGGGTGGGGGTGAGATACAATTTAACCCACAACAGATATATAAGTAACATTTTTAAGAAGTGTTAGAAACTTAACCTTGGTGGGCCAAGAAGGAAAGACTCTCTGGCAAGATTGATTTCTGACTTGCTACTGAGACACATAAAGTTAGGAGATTAGAACTTTGGCTGGCATCACCACTTTGAGAACCACCAAAATCCAAGAGATGTAAATAAACAGACCCAGTCTAATAAAGATGCAGCACCTGTAATAATTTAGAATCACTAAATATTTATAAAGATACCAAAAAAATAAAATCCCCAAACCCCTCCCATCACCCCTCCTGTGCCCTCTTTTCCTCCATCAAGTCTGCTCACTCTTCTTTCCTAGGCAGTTCTTTTTCTGCCCTCTGGACCTCCAGCTATGACATCCTTCCAGTAATGGCCTGGGGTCATAGGAATTCCCCCTTGCTGCTGTTGCTTGGAATTATCCCAGCCACCTCCTCACACTCCCATGGGTAAGGAGAAAAGGATGAGATGATACCAGAAAGAGTTCTGTTTCAGTCAAATCCAAACTTGACTGTGGGTACATTTAAATTATCAAGAGGTGGCTGTAGTGGTGGTGATCTAGAAAAATAAGGTGTGTCAGCTTCTTCCTTGGCCTCTAAGCTTTCTATCTTTCACCTCCCTGGAGCCATAAACCATATCTCTTCTTGATGAATTGCCGGTGTTCCATAACTGGGCAGAACTTATCTCCACACTGAGCACCACACGTCAAATTGCCCTTGTTCCTCCTGAACTTTGAGCTTCAACAGCCTGGGGTGGGAGAGGAAGGGAGGGAGGAAAACTGTCACTGATCAAGGGTTCTAGGAGGGGTTAGTGACACAGAGATCAATTCCAAAGCCAGCACGGAGGTAGGGCAGGGAAGACTAGGCCCTGAGAAGTCTGGGGCTGGGAAAAGGAGGTAGTGAACTATAGAACGCAAACTAGACACTAAAGGCAAAGTAATCATGAATGGTCAAAGTGTTCGTTGTTAACTTATATCTTCTTGCCTTCTGCCCCATTCCACTGTCAGGACCCAGAGGACAGCTGTGTCTTGTTTACCACTGCATCTCCAGCACCCAGCATCCCACCTGGCACACAATGGACTCCAATCTCTTTGACCATCTTTCATTTCCTGTAATTTGCAAAGCCCTGTCTTATTTCTGAGGCGTAGCACAAACTAAAACACCTGACTTGGAACACTTTCTCCTTTCAAATGATGCCCTTCTTCTCATCCCTTGGTTCACAGCCTAAATGTTAGCTCCTTGAACAGTTCTATCTCTATTTAAAGTAAGTTATACATACTCTCATGCACACGAGCGTGCTCGTGCACACACACTTTAGCTTCCATCACAGCATCCTGTTTGGTTTCTCCATAGCCCATACAACAATTCGTAATGATTTGTTCTTTGTATATCTCCTCCACTTGGCTGTACATTCCAGAAAGAGAAAATTCATATCCCTTTTGTTCACTGTTGTAGTCCCAGCAATTAGCCCAACCAAGAGACGCACCAGATAAAGGTTAAAGAACAAAAGAATGAATATATAAGCAGAAGGTAATAAACCTATAAGAATTTTCATACTATGTTACATGGGAAGGTAGCATAAAATAAGGATGGCATCTTAGACCAGAAGAGGAAAGATGGATTAATTAATAACTATCTAGGATCGACTGAATAACCCAAACTAAAGCTGAATCTATTTCTTCCTTATTCTACATCAAAATCAATTCCAAATGAATCAAAGATGTAAACCTTAAAAAAGGAAGTCGTTTAAAAAAAAAAAAAACTTGAAGAAAATGTACAAGAAGTCTTAATCATCTTAATGTGGAGACTTTTTCTAAGCAAGCCAAAGAAGAAAAGATAGTTTTTATGTATTTAAATATATCTAACACTTTCTTCACACACACATATGCACTGAAAACATCAACAGAGACAAAAGATAAATTGGGGAATTATAACTGTTATGCTTGACAAAGGCCTGGATTTTATTATATATATTATTACAAGTATATAATGAAAAAAACTAATAACTCAAAAATAAAGGACATAAACAAGCAGACCACAGTAGAATTCATGCAAATAGCTTTTAAGGATCGGGATATATAATTTTAAGAATATCAAAGGACAGGAATGTAAATTAAACAGTGAGATAACCATTTTTTATCTTTGAAATTGGCAGAAATGAAAAAGTTTGAAAACCTTCAGTGTTGGCCATTATGTGGAGAAAGGAGTACTGGCATATTACTGTAGGAAGGTATACACTTGGTCTTTTGAAAGTCAGCCTCGTGGGTCAGCTGGCCTTTGAAAGTCATTCAGCATTTTTATGTCTCTGTATAGGACAACTTGGCAACATCTGTCAGAATTTTACAGCATATACACTTTGGCCAGCTATTGCATTCTTAGATTTTATTCTACAGATAAACATGCACACATATGCAAAGATGCATAAATGAAGATAGTCATTCAAAAGACCAAAATAACCTAAATGACCTTAAATAGTGGACTGATTAAATAAGCTTTGGTTCATACCCATAGTAGATGAACATGCGGCCACCGAAAAAGAAATGTGCCAATGTCTTGAATCTATTTAGTATATGAAGCCCAGAAGGCATGGAACAGAAGGCAATGTACCAACCCATTTGCTGAAAAAAAGCATATACCAAAGATAGCTAGGGAGATAAACAGACAGATGAACATGGCTGTGTATGCATACCATTTCTGGAAGGACTCAAACCTCAGAGGGCATGGACTGAGTGGTCAGTAAGCTTACTTTTCATGGTACCTCTTCATATTATTAGGGGGAAAAATGTTCCATCTGCACATTTTACTTTTTTCTTTTTTTTTTTTTTTTTTTTTGCAGTTCACGGGCCTCTCACTTGTTGTGGCCTCTCCCATTGCGGAGCACAGGCTCCGGACGCGCAGGCCCAGCGGCCATGGCTCACGAGCCCAGCTGCTCCACGGCATGTGGGATCTTCCCGGACCGGGGCACGAACCCGTGTCCCCTGCATCGGCAGGCGGACTCTCAACCACTGCGCCACCAGGGAAGCCCTGCACATATTTCTTTTTAAATTTAGAAACTAGCTAAATTATAAAAATGATGTTAGCATAACTCAATGTAGCCTTCAAAAAGATCCTTTGTAATAATAAGGGTGATGTTAGTAAAATAAGAAGATTTTTCAGTCTTGTTTAATGCTCTTATCACTCCAAGGTATAAAATCTTAGTGGAAACGTACACTTTTTTTTTTTTTTTT